CAGCTGCAGTGTGCACAGCCTGTTGAGGTGAAGCCCATACGTGTCTTATGCATTGACCCAGCTCAGAGCAACCCTGGCAGTGCTTTTAGTGACTGCTGAAGCCAGCTGCTGGCTGCCCACGGGGGAAAAATCCCCAAAATCCCCAGGAATCCCCCAAATCCCTGCTTCAGGGCTGGCTTGGGAGCAGCTGGGTGCTGGTCTGGACAGTGTGGTTCTCTCCAGCATCCCTGTGCTGCCTCAGCCCCAACACGAGGTTGAGTACCAAGCTGCTCCCTTAACCCTGCTGCGACTTCTGTCTTTCAGGACGACTCATCCATCCAACGAAAGCACTTTATCTCTCTTCTTCCGCTCGCTGTTGCCAAATTTTAACTTGCAGGTATGTGCAGTGGGCTCCTGCGGGCAGATCCAAGCGTGCTTCTCCTGTCAGTACACAGTAGTTTCCACTGCACAGTGTTTCTGCAAAGGGAGTGGCTCTTGGCATATGCAGTGTGTATTAAACGTCAGGTTGCAGAGCAGCCTGATGCTTTTTGGCAAGCAGCAGTTTCTCTCCCTGCCTGCTGCAGGCATGCAGCTCCCTGTGTGGCTGCTCCAGCTCTGCTCTCTTGCTGCAGGATCTCAGGCCTGACGGGGATGAAGAGGCTGGAGCAGGGCAGGACCTGAACCAGGGGGTGAACAGGCTCATGGCGGCCATGCGGGACATGCTGGCGAACATCCAGTTCCAGGAGCCCCCCCGAGATGACAACCCTGAAGGCGATGGTGACTGGGACTGAGCCGAGAGCATGTGTTGTTCCCCCTCCCCTCTGTGATCACCCCCAACTTGTGTCCACTCCAATAAAGTCACACAAGGCCCAGGCACCCGCTCCCTGTGGGGATGGGCTCTGGTGGGAATGGGGGGGCTGCCACCGTGGCACCTTTTGCCTCTCAGCAGGGGCTGAGGGCTGTCTGAGCGGACAGAGCTAATCTACAGCAGCTGTCCCTCGGCCACCCGTCAGCTTAGTCCCTTCTGGCCTCCTCCAAGTGCGTTTGCTGCCCCCTTCCCCTCCTGCTTTTTTTCTTGTCTGGTTTAATGGCTGGAGGCTTTTTCCAAGCTCCTGGTCCCGAAGTCTCCTTCCCTCCATGAAACAGCACTGGACCTCCCAGCTCGCTGACAAAGAGCTTGGGGTCTCTGTTCTGGTGCCATCCCTTGGGGCGTAGCAGAACACAGAATGGGTTGGTTTGCAAGGGACCTCATCCAGCCCCAACCCCCTGCCACGGGCAGGGACACCTTCCCCTAGAGCAGGCTGCTCGGAGTCCCTGTGTCCAGCCTGGCCTTGAACACTACAGGGCCTCCTTCAGAGATGCAGCTCTCCCTGTGCTCCTGGAGGGATGTGGGGAGCAGCTCTTCCTTGTGCTGCAGCTGTTCCATCATGCTGGAACCAGAAATCATCCTCCCTCTTTGTTTTCTCCCTCCAGCCCTCATCTTGCCATCTTCACCTTACAGAGCAGGGAATGAGATCAGCTGCACTCAAACCTTTTAACTCGGCCTTGCTGCCCACAAAGCTTTTTCCCCTTTTTCTGCTGTGTAACGCTGTGGATCTGGCTCTGACGCTGAGCCAGGCTGTGCTGCTCAGAATCAATCTGGGAGGGCTCCCCCGGGAGCAGCCTGGATGCTCGGGGAGGGGGCTGGGGCGGGTGCAGACCCATCCAGATCTCGGCTCCCTGTGCTGTGCCCTCGCGTCACTCACTTTTGCAGACTCGGCGTTTCCCAGCTCGGCTCCCAAAGCCTCCGTTTGTGAAGCTGAATGTTCCCGGCACGTACCGGTGCACCCCAGAGCCGAGGAGCAGCCAGGAGTTGGGGGGAAGCTGGTGGCTGTTGATCTTGATTCCTCCTCTTTACGTTTCCGGGGGGGTGAGAGGGATTTTGCCGGTCATCAGGCACCGTGTGTTCTCTGGTTTCAGCTCAACATGCTGTGCCAGTGTTCATGGTGGGAAAGGTACCACGGCAGCCTG